CGTCTCAAGGTCGTTAGCCGGCATGCGGTCCCTGCTGAGGGGAGTGGCAGCCTGGGACTCCCTGACACTATTTCCCCGCTAGGACCCAAAGCCCCGCCCAGTTCCCCCAGCACTTCTCTGTCTCTCGCCATGCCAGTGGACAGGCACTGAGCACACGACATTCAGTCCTCCTCATGATGTTTGACATGGGTATTATTATTTTCCCATTCGTGAAAGGGCAAACTGAGGCTCAGAGTGGTTAAAGAACTTGCCTGTACTCCTGCTGGAAAGTTACAGAGGAAGAATTTGAACAAAAGATCATCCCACCCCTAAGCTCTCACTCTGCCACCACACCCTTGCCATCCACAGGCCACAGTCCCTTTTCCAGGGCCTGTGTAATTTCTTTCCATGAAGGTGGGGGCCAGGTTGCTGGAGGAAACCATCCAAGAAATTGCACCTGGGGTCATGAGGATGGGGAGACCTGCAGCTATTCTAAAAGCCACCCTGCTCCCAGTGATATCCCTGAGCCACCAGGAGGGGGCACCTGAGCCTAGCCCACTACTGGGTAAGCCTTCAGCAGCCACCACCAGCACTGGCTTTGCAGGCACTCACCTGTTCACCTGGGCCTGGAGCCGCTCTAGCCTGGAGCCTAGTTCCCGAGGCCAGCGTTCTGGGTCTCCCTGAGGGTTTGGGGGGCTATGCCTTGAAGGCACTTGCTGTATTAACTCTGGCCAGAGGCCAGATGCATCTGAGATGCCCAGGGAAGGTGCTGTACCTGCAGGAGCAAAAGGGCAACCTGAGCTCAGTCTAGCTGGTTGCACAGGCCTGTCCCTTTGCACAGTCTGAGCCCCTCCCCCTACCTGCCAGGTGGACACAGGCTGTGGACAGTGGCTCTCCTAACCTGGGTGCCCTAGAGCGCAAGGTCCCGCCCTAAGGAGTTCTGGTTTCCAGGACCTAGGAGGACATAAGCCTGGGTAGAGAGCTGGGTCCTTGGCTTTGAAGGGGGCTGACAAAGGGGACCCTCTAGCCCTGGTCTTGCTGTCCAGGAAGCAGCAGTCCAGCAGGTTCCTTGATACCATGGTGGAGAATCCTAGGGGGCTGGCTGGTGTCCACCTCTAGGGGCAGCATGTAGCAAACAGGGAGCCCTTAATCTCTGGCTCTGGAAGAGGGACAAAGTCTTCCAGCCCTGAGCCCAGGGAGGGAGCCCCTCTCTACTCACCGAAGGGCTGAGGAAACAGATGGAAAGGACAGGAGAAGGGACAGGAGCTGGGCAGGGGCTATGGGGGCTGCTTTGCCCACCTGCCTGGTCGTTGTCAAGGAAGAAGTTCTGGCGGTCTTGATTGCCTGGAGCCTGTTGGGGTGATGACTGAAGACCCCCATCTGCCTTGTGGGGAACAAGAGCGTCAAGTAACAGGGACCATAGCTGGGGCAGCCTCTGTTCTCCCTGCACCCCCTCCTGTGGCCCTTGTCCCAACTAGGTGAGAAAGTGGTGGCAGCCAGCGACGCTCTGACAGCTTCCTGCAGGTTTTCTCCTGTGAGGGTGGGTGGGCTGGTGCCCAAGGCTCGGAGACAATGACCAAGCACTGGATGGCCACCAAGAGACCCCCACGGAGGTCTTGGGAGAGGGTGGGAGGCAGAGAAGCTGCTCTCCCAGAGCCCCCTTTTGGAATGTCGTAGTGCCCCCTCCTCAATGAGAGCCAGTGAGGAGCTTCCTCAGAGAGGGCTGGTCTGGAACTCCCAGTCCTCTCTGGAGGTGCCCTCAGCAGTGCCCGTGGCAGCCCTCCTGGGATGGAAGATAATGCAAGCATGGAATCCACATTGCTCCCGTCCTGGTATACCCTGGGGCGAGGGCACTCAGACCACCTGGTGGGCCCCTCAAGGCAGGGTCCTTCCTATTGATAGCTGTCTCTGTGCAGGTCAGGTGGGAAGGGAAATGGAGCAGAGGGGACAGTGTGCAGGGCTGCCCACACACAGCAGGAACCTGCCTCAGCACTCCCTTCCAGGAACTGGGCACAGGGCTTGGGCTTGCTGAGCTCCCTGCTAAGGCTCAGGGTTGGGGGAAAGCAAGAACCGAGGTGCTGAGACCTAGTGCCCGGCCTCAGCCAGTTTCCCTGCCATATGCACCCTCCCTCTCTTTCTAGGCCCCCTTGTCCATGAAGCCCTTCCAGGTGCTCCCGGATCTGGGCATTGCTGGTGCCACCTCTGTGCAAGCTTGGGCATCACAGACATTCAGTCTCTTCTGCAGACCCTCGTGACTTCTTCAGTTACCTAACTGCGTGGCTCTCTATTTTCCTGAGTTGTTAAAATCTCCTCTTGGCAATAAGCTTGAGAGGAAAGAACTGTAGCACTTCTTCACACTCCCTGTGTTTGCACCATGGGCTCTCTGGGTGGTAGACACCCTCTTTTTTATCTCGGTACAAAGTAGTGTCAAAAGCCCAGACTTTGGACTCAGAGAACTTGAATTTGCATTTCAGCTCTGCCATTTACTAGCTATATAGCTTTGGATGATTTATTGATCCTCTCTGACCCTCAGTTTCCTCATCCAGAAAATGGAGACAATGACACCATTTCCAAGAAGAGGCCTACATGAGATAACGTCAAAGGATCCCAGAGCGTAGCCCATAGTTGGCGCTCAATAAATGGTAGCTGCCATCATATTTAACATTATACAGGCCACGGTAGGCCCAGAAGAAATGATGACGGATGCAGGACAGGGCCCGGTTGAAGGCCAGTGGTCAGATGGGCCCCCTTAGACCAAGCCCTCAGCAGGCTGCCAGAGTGTCATTACCCGTTACCAGCTGGCCGAGAACCACCTCCCCCCCGGCCCACCCAGCCCAGACTCACGTCCCGCAGGTTGAAGGTGACCTCCAGCTTACTCCAGAAGCTGTCCGCAAAGGCAGGATACATGTCCAGGACCTCCAGCAGGTCTGCCCGCTGGATCTTGTGCAGGTCACAGTAGGTCAGGGCCCGCACGTCTGCACTGGACTTGCCCGGCCGCGCATGGAGGCTAACTGGTTCCCCAAAGATGTCGTTCTTCCCTGCCAGCCAGAGGGGTGGGGGTCCCTCCAGGGTCTGACTCCACATTCCCTTATGAGGAGCCTCCCTGGGGGTCCCTTGGCCATAACCTCCCCTCCACCTCAGGGATTCTGCCAAGCTGGAGCTTGATGCTTGGGATTGCGGTCTGGGGACAAGGCTGGCTGGGGGAGGCGAGGAGAGCAAGGGATATGCCCTGGCCCTGTCCTCGGAGCTCCACAGGGATCCGTTTGGAGACCCACCCCCAGTGTGTAGGTCCTTAGAACCACCGTCCATCACAATCTCACCTCCTGTGACCATGCTCCTTTGCCCTGGCCCCACTCCCACCCAGGGGCCTGTGGGCAGTAAGGGACGCTGCAGGCTCCCTGCCCCACTCTTCCTGCCCTCCTTGGCCTGCTGACCTTATAGAGCAGAGTTCAGGAAACCCAGGGCCAGGAGCACCCAGTTCACCCAGGACAGGGCCTGAGGCTTCTGTTTCTTTGTCTCCACACCCCCTGTGGAGCCAGGTAGTCAGCATGGCCCCAGCAGGGAAGCCTGGGGAAGTCACTGCCCCACTCTGGACCCCAGTGTCTTCATCTCTAAAAGGGGTATAACTATCTCTGGCTTGCCTACTCTCAGGGAGCTGTTTGGAGAAGCGGATGAGGTGATGTTCGAGAGAGTGCCTTGAAAAGCAAAAGGCCCCAGGCTTGGTCAGTGCAAGCCTTTGGGAGGGACGGGTGTCTCAGGGTGGACCTGGGGAGGACATTCACAGCAAGGGTGTGGCCCTCCTAGTACCAGATGCTGTGCTGGCCACAGGACAAAACATGAAGCTGCTGTCCCACCCATAAGGAGCCCCCCAATCCCACAGGACAGGCACATAGGCAGCCAGTGAGTTTACAACATGAGCTGTAGCGTCTCAGAACAGGGGAAAACCAGGACTGGACTATGCCTTAGTAGGCACAGTCTGCAAGGCTGACCCACGTGGGAAGGTCCTGGGTTCGTGTCCAAAGACCTCTGAGAATGCCAGGCAGGGAAGCACCCATGATCTAGGGCTGGCTGCGGCTGGGGTAGATTGTGGCATGGGGATCCTATTGGGGGTGCTGTCTCTTGGTCTCTTTCTCCCTCTCTCTGGGTCTCTCTTGTTTGTGGAAGAAATAAATAAACTTTAAAAAAAGAACAGGAGCTATGGGGCCATGGAGGAGAGGGGGGATTCCTTCTGCCAGGGGTGGTGGGGACAGGGAGGAGGACAGCTTACAGTGGAAGTAAAATGGGGGCTCTGTGGGGTGTGTTGAGAGAATCAAGGAGGACTAGCCCCCAGGAGAAAGGCAATCCTAGCAGGAGGATCCGTGTGGCCCAGCACTGCATGGTAAGGGCTGGTGGGGCAGACAGCCCAGGGCCAGGGGTGCCACAGACCACAACAACTTTCACACCCCATGGGGAAGGCTAGCCTTCTTAGCCTGGAAAAAATGCACAAGGGACGCAAATGGGTTATTATTGACAGAGGGATGGATAGGGACCGGACATTCCCCCCATGAGAACAGGATTGAAGGGCATTCACAGGCCTAGAGAAGAGAAAGACCCACCAGGGTAATGTGCAAAACCCTGGAGCTGGGAATCTGGGCATCGGTGTAACGTGATGGCTTTCTACTAGATGAAGAATTACAATCTCACAGCTATGTCTACTCAGGACAAAAAGAGAGGATTTTATGTCCCCAAAAGAACCTGAAATTGAACTAGCTTCTTAATTATTAATAATAATTATTATCCCTCCTACGTGGACAGCACTTCTGAAGTAGGCTGGGACTGAGGGAAGGTTTCATGGAGGAGTCTGCGATGGAGCCCAGCCTTGGAGGATGACAGGGGGCTGCCAGACAGAACCCCAGCATAGGGTGTTGTGGCAGAGCGGCAGCAGGTGCAAAGGCACTGGGGACAGAGATGGACAGGTGTAGAGAACTCTATGTAGTTTGTATGGCTGGCGGGGGATGGTGCAGGGCTCAGAGTGGCCAGACCATGAAGAGCTACGCATGCCACACAGGGAGTTACATTTGTCCCATGGGCCACCCTGGAAGGATCTTGAGCAGAGACATTTTGTACAAGCATGTGTTTCGGGAAACTGTGGAAGATGGCACATAGAGGTAGAGCAGACATAGGGTCATGAAAAGGGAGCCCCCGACACCTGCCCAGGAAGGACACGATGAGGACTGTGCCCAGGCAGAGCCAAGGAGACAGGTGTGGGATGGGGAGGTATCAGGGAGGAGAACAGAGAGGGCTCTGGCTGACCAGATAGTGGGCAGTGGGGCAGAAAGGGAGCAGGATGCCCCTGGCTTAACTCCAGCCTGGCCCAGGTGATGGGTGACGGTTCGTTCTGATGGGGATACAAATGAGCTGCTTGTAAGGGACGGTGATAACAGGCTGGGATAGGTTGAGCTTGGTCTGACTATGGAATATCAGGCTGCCCTTGCTCAGGAAGGAATGAAAGAGTCCCACCTAAAGAAAGATTGGAGCTGGGACAAAGCCCTGGGGGTCCTTGTGACACAAGGCAGAACCTGAGGCCATGGGAGCAAGGGACTGGATGAGAGTGTAGGATGAGGAAAAGAGCACCAGGGCTTGAGGACCACCAACAGAGGTCAGAGGGTGAGGAACAGGCAGAGGAGCCCCAAGGGGTCCGGCCCAGAGGAGACGGAGGAGAACCAGGTCATGGAAACCAAAGGAGGGCGAGGCTGAAGTCAGAGTCAGAGACTCAAGCTACAGCTGAAGTTACAGGAAGGCAAGGAAGGTGAGATTCAAGAAGAGGACCCTGGACATGCGATGCTCAGGGAGGTAGTGACTTGTCCAAGGTCATGCAACAGGTAAGTGGCAGAGGCTGCTTGTGACTGAGGTCCATCCCCCTGCCCAGTGCTAGTGTCCTTTGTCCAAATGTCCAGTTATCCCTGCAGCTGTACCCAAAGAGACTGGGACACCAGTGGGAGACACTCCCCACCCGCCAGACCCTCAACATATCAACCTGACTCCAAGAGTAGAAGGTAGGGCTTTTGTCTGGGCTTTTGACAGACTGGCAATGGGGAATCACTCTTGGCCACTTATTAGCCTGACTTCTCTGAGCCTCAGCTTTCTTTCCAGGAACATGGGATCTATGGCAGATGGCAGAAGGACTCAGTAAGTTGGCCCTAAAGTTCTCGGGGACACATGTTCCGCATGACTGGTCAGTAAAAGGTGCCACAATCCTCATTAGGAAGAGGGTGACCCACGCAGGGTGTCTCCAACCCTCCCCCAGTTCCCCTGGTCCCCTCTCAGCGGACTCACCTAGGATGGCCACGACCACATCGTCGCGCAGAATCTCGATGGAGCCGCGGGAAATGAAGTAGAGCGTGGAGAGCACGTCGCCCAGGTGCACCAGCGTGTCCCCCGGCGGCGCGTGCGTGGTCTTGAACTTGACAGCGAGCGCGCGCAGGCAGCCCTTGCTGGCGCCGCGAAAGGCTGGACAGTGCTGCAGCAGCGCGCGGTGCAGGTGCAGGCAGATGTCGGCCTGCAGGCACTCGGGGAAGCCCTTCAGCACCTGCGAGGGGGCGGCCGAGTCCAGCGGGGCGCGGCCAGGGGTGGGACTGGGGGAATGGAAGGGGAAGGCTGTGGGGACGCCTGAGCCCGAGGATCCAGTGACCGCCCGCCCCACCCCGGCCGGGTGCTAAGGCTCACCGCGTTCATGTCGATGCCGTTGGTGTAGGACCAGGCGTGCTGGAAGTACTCCTCCAGGCGCTGTCGCAGCGGGTTGGGAATCTGGTGGAAGCGGATGAACTCCTTGATGCGCAGCATCTGTGCATGGTAGCGCGCGGTCCCCGAGTACAGGCGCTGGATGATGGCGGACACGTTGCCGAAGATACTGGCGTACATCAGGGCTGAGAGGATGGGCACAATAAGGGCATCAGCATCCCCACCTGGCCGCCCCACTCCAGGGCCTACTTACTCCAAGCCCTGGCAGCCCCCCTGGCCAAGGACCCCTGGGTCTGGTCCAAGTCAGAAGTGTCCAGGACGACGCCAGGGCGCATGTGGGGAGAAGGCCTGGGGGCTTTCTGTCCTCTCTGCCTTGTGCCTCCTGGCCTCTAACCCCAGGCCCAGAGTCAAACCCTCACAAAGAACAAACTAGGGCAGGAATTTTTGGTTTTGTTTTTAGTTCAAATTTGTTTACTCCTTCTAGTTGTACATTATAATACAGGGAAAGCTCTTGGTTTGACCCATTTTTTCCCCCACGTTTTTGTTTTTCTGGGCTTTCACATCTCTAAATACTCTGAACATGACAACTTAACCTATGTGTAAAATTCCACGCTGCCTCTTGTGTTCCTAAGCCAGGTGTCTTGGAAGCAGGCAGCTCAGAGCAGGGACTGAGTTGGCCACCTGGGCTGGGACTGGGTCTGGAGATGACTTAGCTGTGCCCCCTGGCAAGTTAGGACAGTAAACTGAGCTCTGTAAACTGAGCTCATGAGGGAATAAAGTGTGAGCTTTTGTAAAATGCTCGAGGCAGTGCCAAGTGGGGCTGGTTTTGCAGGCATGCACCTGTGCAATCATGGGATTAAGACCCTGTGTTTGGGACCAGCAGATGGCCTTAACAGTTACGTCACTGAACTCCCACATAGTCGACTGCGGTTCAAGTCCCGAACTCGGCAGCTTAAAATTCATGCCAGGCATGAGTGTATATGCGTGCCCAAAGTTCCAAAGGGAGAATGGTGAAGAAAGGATTGTGACGTGGCCATCCCTCTGGGGGCCAGTTTCTCACTTTTTGTCTCTTCGTCTCTCCGGTGAGCACAAGCGCCCTATAGTAAACTCTCAAAAAAAAAAAAAAAAAAAAAAATAGACCCTGTGTTTGGTTTAATGCTCTCACAGTCTCAAAATCTTTTTTTTTTTCTTTTTAGAGAGCTATTTTTGCTACAGGGTATGTGTGCTCACCAGAGAGAGAGAGAGAGAGAGAGAGACAGAAAGTGAGAAATCACCCCCAGGGGGGATGGCAATGCTGCAATCTTTTCTCCTCTAGTGTCCTCTTAGGATTTTAGGCACATATGCACACGTGCCTGGAGTCAATTTTAAGTCACCAGGTCGTGACTTGAACTGCGGTCAACTACATGGGAGTCCACAACATAACCATTTTGCCATCTATTGGTCCCTAAATCTTAGCAGTTAGCATAATGGCCATGTCGTTGAACTCCCATGTAGAAAGTGATTTCTCGCTATCTGTCTCTTTGTCTCTCTCTGTCTCTCTGGCTAGTGCACACGCCCTATAGCAAAAACCTCTCAAAATAAATAAATAAATAAATAAAGTGTCATCTTAAAAATTTTTTTCATAATAATTTATTTATTTAATTTCATTTGTTGTTGTTGTTGTTATTATTATTATTATTATTATTTTCAACTTCACCAGAGAGACAGAGAGAAAACGGGAAAGCAAGAAAGCAAGTCACCAGGTCTGGGACTCAAACCACAGTCGGCCATGTGGGAATCCAGTGCCTTTAACTACCATACCACCTGCTGGCCCCTCTTAATGAATTTTAACAAGGGGCTCTACGTTCTCCTTTTGCACTGGGCCTTGCAAATGAGGCAGCTAGTACTAGTGCTGGCATCCAGCGAGGGCCAATGGGTGCTTTTTTTTGGTATAATTTTGTATAGTTTTGTGTATAATGCAGCAGATGCAAGGGTGCCCCGTGCTGCTCACTCAGGACCAGCGCCAGCACACTGCTACTGTATGCTATGTCTTGTTACAAACTAAAAACAGAACTCTACGGGTAAGATCTGCGGCATGAGGTTGCACTCACAGCCGATGAGCATGACGCAGATGGAGAAGACCTTCTCAGAGTTGGTGTTGGGGGAGACGTTGCCGAAGCCCACGCTGGTGAGGCTGCTGAAGGTGAAGTACAGGGCCGTGACATACTTGTCCTGCACCGAGGGGCCTGAGGCTGGGTCGCTGCCATTGTAGCGCTTGCCGAGCTGCACGCCCAGGCTGTCCAGCCAGCCAATCTTGGGCTCCAGGTAGGGCCGCTCCACATTGCCGATGGCGTACCAGATGCAGGCCAGCCAGTGCGCGATGAGTGCGAAGGTGCACATGAGCAGGAAGAGCACAGCCGCCCCGTACTCAGAGTAGCGGTCCAGCTTCCGGGCCACGCGCACCAGCCGTAGCAGCCGTGCTGTCTTCAGTAGCCCAATCAGGGTCGTGGTCTGGAAGGGCAGAGAAAGGGCCACAGGGCTGGTGGTCAGACCTTGAAGGGGGACAGTCAGGACAGCATTTGTTCACTTGCACATACGACCACATAGTCATTCAGTAGCCATTTATGGAACACCTTCTCCAGCCAGACACTAGGCAGTGGGGCGAAGGGTGGGACCTCGAGGAGTTTTCTGCCTACAACTCAAAATGGTGTTTTGGTTGCTAGGACAGAAGTCTCATGGGAGCATGGAGGAAGAGGAGGTTAAGTGCAGGGGAAGGTCAGGGGAGGCTTCACAGAGGAGGTGATACATGAGCTGAGTCTAGAGAGAAGAGGCTAGATCTCCAGGCAGACAGGAGTGGGGAGAAAAGGCATTCCTGGCACAAGCAGTGGCACAGAGGTGTGAAGGGGCACACGGGAAACCAAAGGAGGCATTGCAGCCTGGAACACAGTGCGGGAGATGGCGCGGCAGAGAAGCAAGACTGGTAGGGTAGGCAGGCCAGTTCCTATGGGCCCCGCGCTCCAGAAGGACCTTTGTTTTTATCCCAGAGGCCTTGGGGAGCCATGGAAAGTTCTGAAGAAGGCACTGGCAGGGTCAGGAAAGTGATCCGAAACTTGCTCTGACCACTGTGTGGAAAGGAGGGAGGCTGGCAGGTGTGGTTTCTGCAGAGGTGAGTAAAAAGGCCACTCAGTGTCCAGATGGGATGGAGGGAGTAGGGAGGAGGGGAGAGGGCTTGGGGGTGGATTTGCTGGCGGGGAGCAACCGTGGGCTTGGGAGTAGAGCCCTGCTGGACAGCCCCTGCTGGGCAAGCTGGGGCGATGAGGGAGCGGAACACAGGAGGCAGAGCTGAGACTGACTGAGCTCCTGAGGAGCTGGGGCAGGAGCGGGAGATGGGACTACAGTGTGAGAACGGCTGAACAAACTCTCACGCCACCCACAGGAGGCAGAGCGGGCATGGTGGAAGGGCTGAATGGGGTGGGGCATAAGGCGGGCTGGACTGCCTTCAGAGAGCAGCTGTGGATCCCCTTCCAACTCCGATCGTGACCATGTTTAGAAGTCAGCCTGGAGAGTGGGAATACAGGAGGGGCAGAAAATTCGGCACAGAAGAGCCTACTGGCATCTTCTCATCTCATGAGGGCCAGCTCAGAGAGAGGGGCCAGAGAGGGCAGCACCAGGCTTGGGGGCACAGCCTTAGCCGGGCCTTCTCCAGGGCTGGGAGATGACAGAGGTCTGAGGTCTCCTGTCATCTCCCCTTGCCTTGGTGAAGGTCTCAGTGCCAGGAATTATCTGCACCCAGGGCCGTGAAGCAGGGTGGCTTCAGGACTAGGCTGCAGGGGACAGCCATGGCCTCGGCCTGGGAGGGGTCTGCTCACCTCATCAGAGCCAGTGCGGAAGATGAGCAGGTCGAAGGGGATGGCAGCCACCATGTCGATGAGGAACCAGCCCTTGAAGTAGTGCACGGCGATGCGGCGGGGGTGGCTGACCACTTCGTCGTTGGTGTTGACATATGTGGTACGGAAGTTGATGACAATGTCCACGACAAACATGATGTCCACAATGAGGTCCACCACGGTGAGTGGACTGCAGGTGTAGCCGCAGGTGCCACGCTGTGACTCATCCTGGTGGCTGAGCAGGAAGGCGGCCGAGTAGGGCGTGAAGACGGCTGTGTAGATGACCAGCAGCAGGATGAGCCAGTCCCACACGGCCTTGAAGGGGCTGTAGTGCAGGATGGGCCAGCGGTGGATGCGCGGCGCCTGCAGCTTGTACTCCGGCAGCACGTCCGCACCCAGCGACAGCACCTGCGAAGCAAGGGACAGTGCCAATGAGGCCAGTGCGGGCCTCGGGGAGGAGTAGGCGACAGCTCTGCTGGGGCCAAGCATAGTCCAGAAGGACAAAGTAGTCCAAAACAGTGTCCCTCAGGGGCCAGCAAGTAGCATGGTGGTTAAGGCGCTAGACTCCCACTTAGCCGACCTGGTGGCTTGAAACCCACACCAGGCATGTGTGCATTGGCTGAGCGGGAAGGCGGCCGAGTAGGGCGTGAAGACGGCTGTGTAGATGACCAGCAGCAGGATGAGCCAGTCCCACACGGCCTTGAAGGGGCTGTAGTGCAGGATGGTCCCGCGGTGGATGCGTGGCGCCTGTAGCTTGTACTCTGGCAGGACATCTGCACTCAGGGACAGCACCTGGGGGTGGGGCCGCAGGTGGTCAGGGGGAATGGCCACCACTGGTGAGATGGGATGAGGTCAGGAAGGAAGCAGTAGGAGAGGGTGGGTGACAAGAGCTAGGGAGGGCAGAGGGAATGAGGGCAAGATGGGTGGGTGATGTAGGAGAGGCCAATGCTTATGGGGGCACCTGGGTTGGGAGGAGGCGAAGAGAGGGGAGGCAGATACAGGAGGGTGCAGCTCTGTCCCATAGTGACCTCAGGTCTGAAGTGCCTAAGCCTCCTCAGGAGCAGGCTATCCTGTTGTGGGTGGAGACAGCATGGGGAGGGCCAGAGAGTCATCTATAGGCACGTTCCAAAAAGGAGTGCAGGCAAGGGGAGGGCGGAGTGGGCCAGTCCTCTGCTGTGAGTCAGGGTTCCTGATGGAAACAGGTCTCCCCCAGAATAGCCTCTTCATTACATAGGGCCCTCAGGACCCTGGACCAGTGAGAACTCACCTACCCTGGGGTCAACTTTCAGAGCCTTCCAGGGTAAGGGTAATCCTGGGGTCTGGATGGGCCTGGGGCACCAGAGAGCCCCAACTACTTCATATACATCCAAGGAAGCTTTGAGTCATTCCAATCAGTGGAGCCCCTTCGCCTTGGCCTCTCCCTGCCTCCAAAACTAGCCAACACAGGGTCACTGGGGCCCAGTCCAACATGCCCAGGCTCTGCCCAACTGCCCGACATGAGAAACAGCAGGGGGCATCAGGAAGGACAAGATGTTTGAAGCCAGACTTCGCAGACCAAATCCCAGGTCTGACACTTGCTATGTGTGTCTTGGGGCAAGTTTTATAACCTCCGAAAGCCTCATCTCTCTCATCCTTAAAAATGGGACCACGAAGGACAGAGAAATCCTTAAGGTGGTTGTGGTTAAATGAGATGCACCTATTAGTACCTGGATGGTACAAGCCACTCTAGGCAGCCATTCCTCTTGCTCCTTCATCCTGTGTTGGACACCGCCCCAACAAGGATGGAGCCTGAGGGGTGTCCCACAAGCACCACCACCACCGCCCCCAATGCACACACACAGCAGATCAGGTCTGATGGGTCTGGTGGATGGTTCTGATTTAAGAAAACCTGGAATGTAACCTGCAAACCAGAGCAACTAGCAGATGGGATCACAGCACAGAAGATCCATCAAAGGGCTGGATTTCAACCAGCAGGTTCCAAATCTGCCACCCAAACCTTCGGAGGGCCCACATCGTCCCCACCCTGCAGTGACTCTCTGCTCAGCCTTCAGGCCTCAGCCCATACTTCATTTGCCCCAGGAAGTTCCCTTTGACTCTTTTTTCTCTGCCCGGCCTATACCCCTGCTCACGTGGTTATTCTCTGCTAGACTGCAAGTCCCGTGGGCCTCAGACCTCTTGCCCAGCCCACTGGCCCTGTGTCCCAGCACTCGGCCCAGGTGGGCTCTCAGCTTTGGGCAACTGGATGAACACCAGAGGCTCAGGTTCTGGTCACCCCTGGGTGTCAGAGCCACTCCCTCGCCTTCTCAGCTGCCCAGGACCACACTAAAATGAGAAAATAAAGCACATATCACTGCCAGGCCCTTCCCTGGCCTTGTCTGTGTGGGGAGAGTGAGCAGAGGCAGGAATTTGGGGGGGCTCTTCCAAGACTGCTAAGAGGGGAGTATCTGGTTCCTCAGCTCCTTAAGGCCCCAGACAGGGAAGCCATCTACCCACCACAAAGACAGCAGAAGGTGCCGGCCCACACTGCCTTTGCCCCCAGTACTCACTGCCTCCAAAGCTGGCACAAAGGGTCTTTCCATGGCAAAGGCCACCTTGTCCAGTGTCACGTGGAGCTACACCCCCAGGACATGGGGCCCTCTGAGTTCCAGCTGAGGCCGATGTGCCTTCCTTACTCTGGGCCAGTCCCTCCCTCCCCTGTGCTCTTCGGGCACCTCTTCCACCTTAGGGCCCACATGGGGCTGTGACAGGAGCAGGCAGGCTGGGGAGCAGAGACCATGGGCCCAGTCCAGTTTGCTGGCCTTTACAGATGACTCTCCAGTCTAAGAGCAGAGCCCCACTGGGGTGCCACTGCCAGCAGCACCCACCTCAGAGGCCCAGGGTTGGGAAGCTGGAGGGGCTTCCCTGACACTGGGCCATCCTGCTTGACCTCAGAGGGTCAGCCCTGCAGCCTGGGTCCCTCCTTTTTGCAGGTCCTTGCACTCAGTGAGGGGCTGAGTGGTCTCACCCACACCTAGTCCCAGCACTGACTGCGCTTCAGATGAAAAGGGGCAGGGCGAAGAGCTGCCACGGTCCCCCATGAAGGGATAGCCCCAGGGGAAGCTTGGAACAGCCCCTCCCATTCTGCACCTCCTTGCCCAGCCTTGGCACAGGTCCTGTCTATGGCTGAGCGCTTCATCTGTCTCTTAGGGCTGGTGCTATTTAAGGTCAAATGGTCTTTAGAGACCACTTAGTCCAACTCCTCACTCCAGATGACAGCTCTGAGGCCCAGAAAGATGTGGTGGGGGGGTCCTTGCCCATGGACACATGATAAGTCAGAGCCAGACCTGGTCACCAGAGCCTGGGGTAGGGCTCTTTGCATTTCCCTCTGGAATAGTGAGGCCATGAAGCCCTGTGAGAAGGGACAGCGGGTCAACCAAAACAGAGGTCGAAGGGGAGTTTGCCTTGGGGTGGCCAAGGAGGAGCTCTCAAGATGGTACCCAGGCTAGGGGGGCATTCAGGACCTGGTCCCCAAGAAGCTGCTCAAAGCTACCTGGAGGTGCTGCCCCGCCCCTTTACCTGGCATGCAAGAGGATCCTGTGGCTAGATTGGGGGTCAAGGGAGATGGCTGTCACCTCAAAGGCAAGGGACAAGAACAGGAGTGAGGGCCTCCTGCCATCTTTCCTTTCTCTTTCTCTTTGCATGGCCCTAATATATCCCCTTTCACCCTCTCTGTCCCTGTGACCGGCAGATCCTTGGGCGGACCCCCAAGGTGGCTTGTGTGTTCCCCACCGACAAACTTCTCCAGGCCTAGGAGATAGCACTACTCACAGATCCTGCTTACCCCAACCTCCCCAGGCTCCAGGCACTGGTCATCAGGGCCGGGGCCTCAGGGCAGGCCTTTGAGCCTAAAGAATCAGACTCAGCAGGACAGGAGGCCTGGGCTCAGACCAGACACTAGGGGGCTGGAAAACCTGATCTGTCTGCCAGCTGAAAGATCCAGGACCCAGGGCCTAGGAGAAGACCCTGGAGGCCTGGCACAGCCCTGCCCATGTTGCCCTGTAGGCTCGCACCTGGGTGACCTTCTCAGTGACATTCTGCGTCCGCTCCACCACCTTGTGGGGTGCGATGATCTCAATCTCTGTGTTGGAGCCCGAGCGGTGCTTCTCCAGGTTGAACTCCACGAAGTTGAGAGTGAACTGCGGGATCTGGCTGATGGTCTTGTACTTGCCCCTGCTGGTGCCAGGGCCCTGCCCGCCCAGCCTGCCACGGGAGCCCTCTGCAACCAGGGCCAGGGTCAGTGCAGTCAGGGCCAGGGAACCAGCTGCTCCACTGGGTGTCCCTCACCACCCATCCCACCTCACCGGAGCCCAGGAAGCTCTGGGATAGCAGGCGCTGGGGTAGGCTGCGACCTTCATTCTTGGCCAGGACCTGGGCCAGGTCCTCGAAGTTGAGGATGAACATGATGACTGCCCCTTCCTCGTTCTTCACAGGCACCACATCCACCAGGCAGCGGAAGCTGGAGGCTGCAAACACCGTTGCACCATTGCAAACCATTACAAACCATTTGCAATGGTTGCAAACAGCGCTGACCCCTCCCCCCCCAGGTCAGGGTGGTCAAGGTAGGGGTCCCCTCCTGCAGTGGCCTGGCTAGGGAGGGGCTGATCAAAGGCCAAGTTAAGGGCAGCCACTGGTGTGAAGAGGCCTGGAAAGTGACCACAGCTTTTGGGCAAAGGGTGGGAGAGGCTGCTTGGCAGGTGCCCCATCCACAGAGCAGAGGTAGAGAGAGCAGCTAAGCTGTTCATTAGGAGATAATGTAGCTGCAGGCCCAGGTCCATGCTCGCCCCTCAGCTCAGGGCTTATCGAGGTTTGCTTCTGTTATAATTAAAGCTGAGCAGATGGGGGTGGATTAAGTGGGGAGGTGAGCTTGGACATTCTACCCATGTAGCTCCCCTGACACGGAAGGAACTCATTGTTGGCAATATGCTAAGTGCTGGGCACCAGGCCAGTTGGCACATTAGGCCTCAGGAGGTCCTTGAGGGGCAGGCAGAGACCCCAGTTCTGCAGATGATAGGCTGGGGTCTGAAAAACTGACTTGCTGGGGCTGGAAGGTAATTTCTGGGCTCTGAGCATCCAACTAGAAAAGGGAAGAGACTTATTTGGGAGGAGGGCGCTGAGGTAAGGGCCAGGTCTGGGAGGAGCATGGGGTCTCCAGGTCTTTCAAGGTCATGTGGGGCCAGGACAGGCCCCTCCTGCCACTCTCCCCTCTCTCTGGGGCAGCCAGATCCAGCTGTTGGCTTCCCTGCACCTCTCAGACCACAGTCTCTGTCCTCTCTGCCCCATGGGCGAGCAGAACAGTACCAGCTAAAATGCCACACACCTAGTCTGTGGGTGGGCCTTCCTGTACCGCCCTCTCCATGGGAGTCCTACAACCCTCAGTTTAAACTGCTGGCAGGTGTTGGGCCCAAAGGGCAGGATCTTCAAGTGCAAGGGCCTGGGTAACCATGCAAATGAGAAGGCAGAGCTGTATTCCCTGAGGGCAGGTTAGGACCTATCACAGGTGTTGTTTGGTGATTAAGTGAATGACAGCCTGGTGTGTAAAAGTGAGGGGACAGAGGCTGACTGGCAGAGGACTGACTACTTGACTGCTCTTCTCCAGATTCCCTATTTAGTGCTTGTTTTCCCTCAGGTGACCCTCAGTCACTAGAGCTGGGGTGCAACTGAGCCACCCCCATCCTCCCTCCCACTTTCCTCTCCAGGAGCAGGAATCTCCCAGATCAGATTCCTGGACTTCCGGGCACCAGGCAGCCATCTGCCAGCTGCTGCCTGAGCCCAGGGAGACATCCACACCAGGGAGAGGCCGTCTGCTTGGCCTGACCTACTCCTGGCTCAGAACTCTGGCCCTGCCTCCCAGGCCAGAGCCTGTCACTCTTGTCAGCCTCAGGCATGGCGAGGCTTGGGCACTGGGACCTGGCCAGGAAGCCTCCTTGGCCAGCAGCCTGGGACACTACCCCCAAGGCAGATTATCTCCTCAATCTCTCTGGCACTGCAGAGATCTGCCGGGCAGGGGACAGGCAAAGGGCAGAGCTGGGCAGAGGAACAGGGCCTCCAGGCTCTCCGTGCTGCTGGGGGCTGTCAGGGCCCAGTCTTAGCGTGGCTGCACCCGCGTACCCATCCTATTGTTGGAAAGCCAAGGCTGGGAATGGACCAAAGACCAGCCCATCCTAGCAATGAGGGCTGAGGTCAGTGAAGGTATCCCCTGCCCCATTCCTGGGCGTGCAGCCTCAAGGCTATGAGAATGCAGGAGAGCTTCTCTCTCCCCCCTCCCCCTGCCCTAGGCTGTCCTTGTTTACCCATGGCTCAGAGCCCACACTTCACTGTGTTTGAGTGGCTGGAAGTGGGTGAGTGTATCGTCTTGGGTGGTTCCCAGGAGTGGCAGTGTTCCAGTGCGCTTATCCTATCCCTGGAGAGGAACCACTGCTTCTGCCCATTTCTCCCCTGGGGGGCTCTTCCTGACACCCACTTCTATGTTCAAGGGCAGCAGGTGAGTCTGCCTTCTGGGCCACCCCACTTCTCTCTGCTCCCTGTCCTTGTCACGCTCCTTTCTTCAGCTCTCCTCACACCATGGGGCCCCTGGCCCTGCCCTCCCTTCCTCAGCCTCCAAGCTGGCCTTCAGCCATCTCTAACGGACACCCCATCTGGCATGGTGCAGGGCCCTCTGGGAGGAGCTGGTGCTGACCATAGTTGCCACTCAGAGTAGTAGCTTGGTCCTCCTGGCTTCTGTGGGGAGCACAGGGACAACTCTGGGGGAAGGTGGTGCGGACAGTGGCCCTGACCTCAGCCCTCGCTCTGTACTTGTCCAGAGCTAAGGACCAGAGAGGCCCCAGGCTTCTCTAGTCTGGCTTGGAAACTAGGAATTCTGGAATCATCAGTGAAGACAGCAAAGACTGGCAGGGCTAGGCCTTCCACAAGTGCCCAGTGGGGGCAGAGATGGGGGTGGGGGGGTCCAAATGCTCCCTGCCCCTTCTCCAGACTCTCCGTGGGTCTAGTCCCACCACAGTCCCGTTCTTCCTTAACAGTTAGGTTCTCACTTTTCCCAGCACAGGCAGATAGAACAACAGCCAGTTTCTCAGGGGTCTCTGAGCTCTCTCTCATGGGGGAATTTTTACCAGGTGCCCTGGCCTCTCTGAACTCAACTTTATGTGGCTGCACACTGTGGAGGTACATGAACACAGACCCTCCTCTTTGACTTCGAGAATTTCCAGTGGATTACCCCTTCAGAGGAAAAGAGGATTATAAATAAATCAGCTAGAGATCTGTTCAGGACCCCTTCCCACCTCCCCGGAGTCAGGAGGTGGGAGGAGAAGAGGATTGACCTGAGGAGGGAGAAAAACCACCATTAGAATGCCCTTCAGCAGAACTGTGAGACATGTACAAATATGATTTTTCAAAAAGGATCGTGTGATCAGAGTGGATGTCTCCGAGTTACCTGAGCACCACGTTTTCCTTAGGGCCATGCAGGCCAAGAAGCTCGCCTCTCTGAATCTCAGGAAGGTCTGGGTGGTCAAAGCCTTAGGCCACAGGACAGACAGGGAAGGGCTGAGTGTGGGGTGGGGGGAGACCGGGACTTGTGGGGCACCATTCTCACCCACGGCCAGTAGCTAAAGGACCCCAGCAGCGTTCTGAAGACCAAGTCCTGACCTCAGTGGGGGGCTTGGCTTTGACCTCCACCTCTGCCCAGGTACCTGCAGGGTGGTGTGGAGAGGACCTCTGATCCCATAGCCTGAAGGTCTGGATGAATTCTCATGCCTCTGGGGCCCATAGACATGCAGAACAGATGTCCCCCTCTCATTTCCTGCTGTCCCATCCTATTCCCCTAGGACCCTTCTCACTCCCCTGACTGTCACCTCCTCTCTGCAATGATGTGAAGAGGTGAGCTCACAGCTTTTAAAAATATTCTGACTTCATTAACCCTGTGAGTACTGTCACACTAAGCCAGATTCTTCCCAACTTCTGAGTGCTGCTCTGCCACGTGCTACTCTCTGGGGTGGCAGAAGCAGGGGACAGCTAGGACCTGCCCCAGAAGACTATACACACATATACACATATATGCATTCACATATGTTCACAATCATGTTACACACACACACACACACACACACACACACGGCTTCTGGGACCCAGGCTCTCAGTACCCCTCAGTCTCAAACCAAAGGTAACCCCTTTATCTGTACTTGGGTGGCCTCATGGCTGCCTCCCCTGGGGGCTTCTTTCTCCCGGGAGCTTCCTTCCCCAAAATTCAAAATTCCCACCTCTAAGCACAGAGGCAGGTGGGGTCTTCTCTCCCCTCTTGGGATTACTCAGAACAGACATGGAGAAGGGAGGAGCCTGGAGATGGGTTCCAGCCCTGGGTTGGGCCCTGGCATGGGATCTTGGGCATGTCCCTTCTACATCCATGAAGCAAATGAAGGAATTGTCTAAGCCAATAGTTCCTAAACTGGCAGAACATCAGAACTGCCAGGGAGATTTTCCAAATACACCTGCCTGGCCTCATCTCATCCCTTCTGAGTCAGCCTCCCTCTAGGGAAAGTGCGCTTTGGAAAACATGCTCCAGGTAACCCAGACGTAGAACCAGGCTGGGAGCTGTGGGTCCAGGAGACTACTAAAGGATGTGCAGGCTCAGATCCTAGTTGCCCCCCTCCACCCCCCCAAGGCCAGTGGGGACCCTGTGGGCCTAGAGTGAGGATCCCAAAGGGCTCTGAATTCTGTCCTCAGTCCTGATCCTATGCCTCTGTTCTGCCTGCAGAAAGCTCAACCTGGCAGAACAACCCAATGCCAACCATCTGGATAAGGCTCTTGGTCAGGGCAACCTCCAGACCCTATCTCCCCAAAGAATTGGGGCTGGAAAAGCCAGGCTCACCCCTCTTTCCCAGAGAGCAGTCCCCAAACCTTGCCTGGACATACAGGCCTCGAGGGGGTGACTCCTCCCCTAATCTCCAGAGCAGACTGAGATGAGGGAAGGTTAATTTCCATCCCAGCTGCCTGACAGCTGGGGCTGACAGTGACAGAGTGGATAACCAGAAGACAAGGGACAAGAGGGAGGGATGGTGGAGCAGGAGGCCCTGCCCCTAGAGAGGACCAGCAGGTGGCTCAGTTTGGTCCCTAGCCCTTGAAAAAGACCCCAGGAGACATTACAACCAATGGCTTCCCCCTACAGATGAGGAAACTGAGGCCCAGCGAGGGGACAGAATTTTTCCAGGTCCTTGGGTCACTGGCCAATGCCCTCCCCAGTGCCTCTCCGGCTGGACAAAGAGGGCCCAAACCCACCCTGCCGGACTCTGATCCCTGCGAGCCTCACCATCTTTGCGGTAGTAGAGGATGTCCACCTTGCACTCCTCGGCTCCCAGCAGGGCCTGCGCCAGCCGGGACACAGCACTGCTTGGGGTGTTGGGGCCGGTGAGGAAGTCGCAGGTGCAGGGGCGCTGCATCACCTCCACGCGGGAGTAGCCGAAGAGTTCGCAGAAGCCGTCATTGCAGTAAATGATGGCACAGTTCTCCATCTGAGCATTGGCAATCAGGAACTTACGACCTGGGGTGGGAGGTGGGAGGTGGGAAGACCACAGCAGCAAGGATTGGGTGGCAGGGAGAAAAAGATCGCGGGGACTCTTGGTGGCAGTGGCAGGGATTTAGATGCAGGGAGGCTAGGTCAGGTCTGGGGAGCTGGGAAAGACCAAGGAGGCCAGATTCATGGGGGAAGGTCATCCCTCCTGGGAGTAATGAGGGGGTGGCCTGCAGTGGGGAGCAGGATGGTGACCAGGGAAGTGGGGGGGGGAGTCAGGCCTGGGGATTCTGGGAAGAGCAGGGTAATAAGGGTAGGTGAGGTGGGAGGAAAGTTGAAGGCCTCCTGGGGGGGATGTTGGGGGGAGCAGGGATGTGACTTGGTGGAGAGTCAGGCCTGGGGAGAGGTCCTGGGAAGACCAGCTGGCTAGGGTCAGGAGGTGAAAAGGAAAGGAAGTGAAAGAGAAGGAGGAAACCACTGGAGAAAGGGGGGTATGAGGAGCAGAGGGAGAGCGGGAGGTCAGGGTTTAGGGCGCCAAGAAAACAGCTCTTCGGGAAGAGGGGAGGGGCCGCAATCTACCCCTCCTGTCCCGGCTGAGAGGACAGCATTGGAGGTAAGTAGGGTCTGCTGGAAGGGGTGTCTGGGGCACCAAAGCGGAGGATTTTGCGTTCAGCATCCGGCACCCTCCACCCCATCTTGCCCCGTGAGAAGTTAGTAGAGATCTAGCCCCTCCTGCCGCTGAGCCAGGCCTCCTATCGGTCTCTCCCCCCCAACACACACACTCACTCTGGCCCTCGAACTTGCGAATGATGGTGTCCAGGTAAGTGTTTTGGGGAGCGACGTGGCCCCTCCGGACCGGCATCTTTCGGCCGCGGCCCCTGTCCGGAGCCACCCGCGCCCCTGGC